ATACTTCAATCTCCCTTTCCCCTTATTATTCTAAAACCAAACAAATCAGATTCCTCAATTCCCTAAAAAAAAAAATCCTAAAATAGTAACAAAAAAAAATCACCATATCAGCATCAATAGAAGCATTCTGAGAATCCAACATCTCCTGAATCTTCTGCTTCTTCAACTTCTGCATATCCCTAAGCCTCGCTTTCTCACGTTTACTAATCTCAACCTTCTCATCATCCTCCTCATCCTAATGAAGCTAATTAATCAACAACCGTTCAATTCACATTAGCTAGCTACACTATTCGCTTACCTCGTAATCATCCTCTACAGGAGCAGCCTCTTCGTCAGAGACTGGCGCAGCTTCTTCTTCGGAATCAGAAGATCGAGTAACCGCCTCAATCTCCTCCTCATCTTCTTCTTCTTCTCCTCCTACGTTGCTATTAACTTGCTCCTCATCCTCGGAAGAGTTAGCATCGTCGCGATTCGAGAATTTCGCCATGGGAATCGAGTGGAAACCTTGAGATCGAGGGTTTGTTTGATTTGCTTAGGGTAAAGTGTGAAAGTGCAGAGGCTCAGGTTTATTTATGACCATTGATTAAATCTAACGGCTGCGATTGGGCACCTAATCGGTTCGTTTTTAATAAGATTTTACCCGCCACGTTTGAGGAAGAGGGTTTTTTTTTTTGGAAAGTTACCGATTTGGGCTTGGTAATAAATAGGGCTTATAGGACGACCCATAAAGGCTACATTAATAGCCGAGACTGTTACCAATTCTTGAGCCGAAGGGTTCATTACATAACTTTGAAACTGTTACCACAAAGGTACTTTACATGTTTGAAGATTAAAGTTCAAAATATTTATTGGTGGTTCTTCACAGCAATTTCTTGGTTGTATAGAGATATTTTTATAATCGTTGAGAACAGTTCATACACAATTTCTTTTGAGAAAATCAGTAAATTGAATTTTTTTTTCTCAAAGAATATTTATAGATCCTATATGGAATATGGTCAATATTATACAACAAAGAAATTTTCAAAAAGGAATTTGAAATTTCCTCAAGAAGATGATAGCCAAATATGAAGGGTGTTGCATAAAGAGAAACAAGATGAGTCCAAAGAAAACTTGTTCAGATTTCAATCTTTGTGTTGTAATGTTTTAAAAATTTTACCTTTGTATTTGATTGTATTTCTATTGTTTTATGTACTTTTGTTGTAATCTCACATTTTATTTAAATAAAATTGTTGTTAAAAATAAAAACTTTGCAACTGTTACCAGTTCTTGTAGTCAAGTAGGTTTGAAGTTGCAATTGTTTGTCAGAGCGAGCATGAGTGTTTGTCTATGAAGAGAGCTGATAGTGTTGCATACTCTTGAATCCCGAGAGAGAAGTTGGAGTTCATAAAAACTCGTCTTTTACTTGGGACTTTTCTATGACCTAACTTATTACTATAATTAGAAAGATATGGACGTTGTACTTGACCAATACATGTATGGCAAAGTTTAGTAATCCACCATTTCAAAATGCTTTCTTTGCATTCATATAAACAGTAGACTGTAAAATTTGTTATACGAAAAAGGAACACTAAACTAAAAAAGCATATGACACTTTAATTTGAAACGTGATTTCAACTATTTCAGAAGGTCCTACATCATAATGTGTGTTTAGTCCATCCATTTTATAAATTATTGGTATTGGTCTCAGTGACCATTTAGAATTTACCATTTTTTGGTCTTGGTGCTATTTTATAATTCATTGCCAAGAATCTTTTCTTACAAGGTAGTATGTATATTCAAGAAAATTCAAGTTCAGAGATTCCGAGTGACACAAACTATACGTTTCAGGCCTTATGAGCTTGGATACTACTGCAACGATGACCATGAAAGGTATTTATGAAAATACTCTTTACAGATGTTTATGTATGGCTTTTGATAGATTTTGCAAGCTCTCAAATTTTAATTTCTCTCACGGGATAATCATTTGATAGAGTTATTGATAAGCTTGTCTTATTTCTTTTCTTCTCGTTAAATTTTATTATGTTCCCCACTAAGGACAAAGTGAGTGAGTGTCAACCTTTGTAAGTGAGATATGTGCAATCTTTGCTCAAAAAAGAAGAAGAGATATGTACAATCTTTCACACATAAAACCCTAAACACATGATGTGAAGATAAAGAGTTGTCCAAATATTCCTTTACAACTATGTATGAATGAATTATTCATATTTGAGGCTTTTACTCTCTTTCTGATCCGTTATATTTGTGGAATTTAGAGAATCCAAAAAGAAAAAGTAAAGGGTGAAACAAGAGAAGAAGGCACGTTGCTTTTTCCCGTGACCATGAGCAGCAACTCACATAGGCCTCAACATTATGACCAATTACGAGTTATGCTAGTATTTAATTAACAACGATAATCCACAAAATATACAATACTTTGCTTTCTTTCTATTCATAAACATATCTTAAGATTAAGAAAAAAATAATATTAATCACTGGAACTAATTTTTATTTTGCCAAAAATGTGAAATTTCATATTACTATGAGAAAAGGATTTAAAAACCTCTTACTTAGGCATTTCTGTGACCTAGATTATTACTATAATTAGAAAGATATGGACATTGACCAATTGTATGGCAAAATTAGTAGTCCATGACAAAATGTTTTCATTGCATTATATAAACAGCAAACTGTAAAGTTTGATGATACAAAAAAACCTAAACTGTAAAGCATATAACACTTTAATTTGAAATGTGATTTCAGCTTTTTCAAAAGGTCCTTTAGCAACAAAAAGAAACATGCAGAAAATAACAAATGAAGAACATATATCAAATATAAACTTAAAAGCATATAAATATGTAATATATTCTTAATCGTATAAATAAGTTATTTTTTACTATACCATAAGAAGTGAAAAAAACCAATTGTGAGATGGATAAACATCATTCATCAAATTATGATAGTTGATATTTTCAACTATCCTTGCTTCGGATGATAACAAACTTATTTCATTATATGTTAATTTATTTTGACATAATATATGGTAAACAATTATTTATTAAATAAAACTTACTATTCATCAGTTCATACGAAATAGTTAACAAATAATAACAATTGATTTGATTACCAAAAACTAGTTAGATGGATAAAAAGGTCTATTTCGATATATAAAATGTTTATTTGGAGACAATTAAACTCATGAAAACAAATACGTACGTGAGTATATAAATGAACTACAAAGCTGAAACGGTAAGAATCCGGAACAAGAAACAAGGCACGGCAGCGAAAAGAACGGACATGACAACTCCGGGAGCTTGAGAAGACGGAGGAGCAAGAGAAGAAGCCGGCGGTGGAGCGGAGGGAGCAAAGGCTGGATCAGGGTCGGCCATAACATCGTCGTTTTGAGGATCCGGAAAGGTTGAATTAGTAGAAGGGATGGTTTGAGTGGATGTTGTGGCTGGAGAAGGGAGAAGAGGAGCTATCTCCGGAGATATCTGGTCTTCAAAGGGAAAGATTGTTGGAGAAGATGGGATTGTATTTGTCGCCGGCAAAGAGTTGGAAAGTGAGGAGAAAGAAATGAAGGTGATGAGTGCTAAGATTAAAGATGAAGCCATATGTCTTTTGTTACTGTAATGATGAACAAATCAATTCCTAGGTTTTTTTTTGTTCGTGCTCTCTTTCTCCCTACTGATCAAAGTGCATTTATGTTGTAATGATACTGCCTCTCTATAAAGAAACTTTTAGCTTCAATAGTAAGAAATTAGAATTTGATTAAAAATGGTTTTTTCTCACTTTATCAACAATTACAATAATGTGTTCGGTGGAAAAGGTTTTCCTTTTTGACGTTCGAGCAAAAAGCACACTTTAGCCATGTATAATTATTTCTGAATTTGAAATGTTCCAAACCAAATGTTGGTGAGGCAAAAGCTCAGTGGTGTAAGAGTTCTTCTTTTGGGTTGTTGGGTTCAATTGTATATGTTGTTGAATGTGAGTTTCTGTTTGCTACTTTGCTTAAGGATCTCGTTTACTTTTGTGTACACTCTCATTTAATCTCGTAAACTGGAAATGAAACAAAATTAAACTTCGCCAAAGATATTACTTTAGTGGATAACACCTGTACCTAACCTAATTCAAGTCTAAACATAATTAATAACTAAAGTTAATATGATTCACGACACTTTAAATTACTTTGTTTACGAAAACGTCATAATGAATCAAGAATTAGTGGAACCTCATGAGCCAACAGCAAAGCAGTATATATATATATATATATATATATATATTTATATTGGTGTTAGAAGTGTATGATTATTGTTGTGAAGGAGTGAAGTTAAAGTTTCATTCCTGATTCTGTTTAGTTACTATGAAGTGGATTATAGTAAATGGCCATCATAGTAAATAAGTAAAAACGAAGTTATGAAATACAGTCAATTTGATTACATATAAATTTAGTGATGAGCCCAACAAAACATAAAGTTAGCTAACACAAGCTTATCATGGGCTCATTAAGCCCAACAAATGATAATTAGTGTTACTAATGAGCAAGAGGCACGAGAACTTGCTAATAAACCTCTATTTGTTTGACTAATTTTACAATCTCACTCTACTTTGTACCATTTCCAAATGTAAAAACACTTCTGATCACTCTTGCAGTTGAAGATTTAAACATATATAATTATGAAAGAATAACTACAGTCAAACCTCTATAAATTTAAATTATTGAAATTACATCAAAACTATAATTTTTATTAATTTATTGATATACTAATTGAATCAAAAATTTAATTTGAAACTATAAAATTATATTATTTTATAAAAAAAATTTAGTATATGTTAATTTATAAAGTATTAGTTTAAAGAAGTTATATTGTATATTCAGTATTTAATTATTGTTTTTAAGGGAATAAAATTTGTTTATCACAAAATAGAAACAAAAAATGAAATAACAGAAGTCACCAACCAAATTTGGTTAAGTGTATAAAAATGTAAAAAGGCTGCAAAGTGTCCATTGGCCCTCTCTCTCAATGGCTGCTTCTCGTCTCACCTACCCTCCTCATCTACTCTCAACCCCACGACCATCACCAACCTCCGTCGCTAACCTCCGTCTTCCCGCCGCTAATTTCTCTATCCGCTTCAAATCTAACTTCTTCTCCGCCGAAAGCAGGAGTGTGCCGGTTCCGGTAGTGTTTTCCGATCGTCACCGACGTCAAAGCATGAAACCAATCAATGTCTATGTAAGTGATTCTTTGGTTCTGTTCAGTTTCGGAGATTGTGACGATGAATTAGTTCAGACAAAGCTTGTCTCTTTGTCTGAAAATTTTGGATGAAAGTGTTTGATGTTTCGTTATTTTTGTTTCTGTTCCATTTCGGAGAGTGCTACAGAAAAAATGATGACTTTGCAGATTTTTTGGTTCAGACAAAGTTTGTCTCTTTGTCTGAAAATTTTGGATGAAAGTGTTTGATGTTTCGTTTTCTTTTTTCTCGTTTCTGTTCCGTTTCGGAGAGTGCTAGAGAACAATGATGACTTTGCAGATTGTTTGGTTCAGACAAAGTTTATCTCTTTGTCTAAAAATTTTGGATGAAGTGTTTGATGTTTCGTTCTAGGACATGATTTTGATGTTTAATTCTAATTAGGTAGTTGAATTTGAAATTTAGATTTTTTTAAGGATGAAAGCTAATGGATTGTGGAACTTAGGTGGCTTCAAATACCACTGGAGTAGAGATTGAAAGTCAGGAAATGGTGAAGAATCCGAGCTTGATCTGTGCTCCAGTGATGGCTGATTCAATAGACAAGATGGTGACTGAAACGTGCAAAGCTCAAGAATTGGGTGCAGACTTGGTGGAAATAAGATTAGATAGTCTTAAAGATTTCAACCCTCTTGAAGATCTGAAAACTATTATACAGAAGTCTCCTCTTCCTACTCTCTTCACATACAGGTTTGTCTATGTGTGTGTGTGTGTGTGTTAAACCTTGAGACTTTTTGTAAACCCACTTGTGTCTAGCTTTCAGTGAATGATCCAGCCTTCTTGTCCTTTAAGTTGTGTGCTAGTTCTTGTGATACACTATGAGTAATGTCGCTGTGTTTCTGTAGGCCAAAATGGGAAGGTGGTCAATATGAAGGTGATGAAAACAAGCGTCTGGATGTGCTCCGTTTAGCCATGGAACTTGGAGCTGATTACATTGATGTTGAACTTCAGGTTATCATCGTTTAAAAACTGAAGAATGGTTTTGATGCTAATTAGTTTCTTCTAACTTCATATTTTGTATATGTTTAAGGTTGCAGGTGAGTTCATCAAATCGATTGAAGGAAAGAAGCCTGAAAATTTCAGAGTCATTGTTTCATCGCACAACTATCAAAGCACCCCTTCTGTTGAAGATCTCAGTGACCTTTCCGTAAGAATACAACAATCTGGAGCAGACATAGTGAAAATTGCTACTACTGCTGTGGATATTACAGATGTTACTCGCATGTTTCATATAACCTCAAATGCTCAAGTAAGTTGCCATGAGTAATCTCTGAATGTGATTCTTTGCTATCACTGTTTGAACCTTCTTCACTCAAATTTCAGGTTCCTATAATTGGACTTGTTATGGGAGAAAGAGGTCTAATGTCTCGGATACTTTGTTCGAAGTTTGGTGGATATTTGACCTTTGGCACCTTGGAATCTGGAAAAGTTTCAGCACCTGGCCAACCAACGATCAAGGATCTGTTGGATCTTTACAACTTTAGAAGAATTGGTCCTGACACTAAGGTGTATGGAATTATTGGCAAGCCTGTGAGTCACAGCAAATCACCTATTGTTCACAATCAAGCTTTCAAATCAGTTGATTACAATGGAGTGTATGTTCACCTCTTAGTTGATGATCTTGCAAGCTTTCTCAAAACATACTCATCATCTGATTTCGCTGGATTCAGGTAAGCTATCATGGTGAAAAATAAGGTTTGCTCCAGTGTATAAAATTAGTGAACAGAATCTGTTTTTCCTGCAGCTGTACAATTCCTCACAAAGAAGCTGCATTGAAATGTTGTGATGAGGTTGATCCATTGGCTAAGGTCTGGTTCTGATAGTAACCCCAACGACTATCAGATAGAACAAATAGCCATCTTGCTTTACACTGAATGCTTGAGTTATTATCTTTTACAGTCTATAGGAGCTGTGAACACTATACTAAGGAGACAAAGCGACGGCAAGTTGCTGGGTTACAACACGGATTGTATTGGTTCCATTTCTGCTATTGAGGATGGCCTTAGAAGTAAGTTCTATGTTCACAGCTTTTATCTGTTGTTGCTCCTCGGTTTAACTCATGTAGCCTTTTCCTTTTCTGTTGTTAAGGCTCAAGTGATCCAAGCGGTGTAGCTTCTTCATCTTCGCCATTAGCTGGTAAAACAGTTGTGGTTATTGGTGCTGGTGGAGCAGGCAAGGCACTTGCTTATGGTGCAAAAGAGAAGGGGGCCAAAGTTGTCATTGCTAATCGAACTTACGGTAAAATACATATCCTACTTTGATTACTTTCCCCTTTTATGAACACCTTTATATATTCTAGTAACCGTCATGCTTGGCCTTGACATTAACTCTTCATCTCTTTTTGGCTGTCATGTTGTGTTTTTGAAGAACGAGCACTAGAGCTCGCAGAAGCAATTGGAGGCAAAGCGTTATCTCTCACGGATTTAGATAACTTCCACCCAGAAGATGGCATGGTATTGGCCAACACCACGTCTATGGGTATGCAACCAAATGTTGATGAGACTCCCATCTCCAAGGTTATTAGCTCTCCTTGTAACAACTCTTTCCTTTTGCTTTCTTTCAGTAACTAAAGAGCCACTCTATGTTATTGTTTCTCCAGCATGCATTGAAGCACTACGCACTAGTCTTTGATGCGGTTTATACGCCAAGAATCACACGACTATTACGGGAAGCAGAAGAATGCGGAGCCATAACAGTGTCAGGCTCAGAGATGTTTGTGAGGCAGGCTTACGAGCAGTTTGAGATTTTCACCGGTTTGCCCGGTAAGTGTGACTCATTACCAAACACAACCCATTGTCTCAGTCCCATAAAACTTAATGAAAGAAGCTGACTTTGTGTTCCAATGTTTTGCTGCAGCTCCAAAGGAACTCTATTGGCAAATCATGTCAAAGTACTAAGACCTCGCTCTTGTGTATGTGTTTCTTACTGCCATTTGTTGAGAGCATAGCTGATTACATAAACGATAAAAGCTTGTTGAGTTGATGGAAACTTAGATTTTGCAAGTGTTGTATTCTCACTAAAGGGGCACAAGAAAGGAACTTGAATAACATATTCGAAGAAGAGTGAATATATACATATATTTACATTTTACACGTCACAACACCCTCACCTTCTTCTTCTTCCATGATACAAACTCAAAAAACAGAGAAGCTAAAAGATATTTCATACTGGATTTGAGTTCTGTGCAACACGTACACGCAAAGAGAAATAATAAAGGTACAATGAGTTAAGGCACACGGCTACCCCAAAACCAATAATCCCTGCAAAAAGTACAGCATAGATTGCAGGCAGTCTCACCTGAAACAAAGAGTATTTTGGTTTTAGTATTCAAATGAAGGAAAACAAATTCAAGTGAAGACTATTGTTGCTTACTATAGTATATAGTAGATGAACCAAGATGCCCACAAGTGCAAACTCAAGTGCTGCATATGTCCATATGTATTCTCTGATAGCTACAGAGTCATATTGCAATAACATAAGTTTTAAAAAGTTTGATTGGCTAACAAAGGAAAGGGTAGAAGTGGTTGTGTATACCAAGGACACTAGCAAAAACGGATGCAAAGAGGCCTAACGTTAATGAAAACGGCCCTGCTATGTAGACAGCTTTCGAGTTCAAGTCCCTAATCTACAAAAGAAGCATATACCAAACCTTGTCAGTATCTTTATGCAGCAAATTTTCATTTAAAATCGCTGGCTAACCAGCAATTGCTCGAGGAAGAAGAAGTAACAGACACTGCTGATCAGAACTAACACCACAAACTCTTGCCAAGCACTGCACCAAACCATTCATGAGTTTCTCAGTTGTGTTAACTAGTGGAAAAAAAAAAGAAGAGTTAAAGAGTACCTAGCGGTTTGTGACTGTAGATTCTGTTGACCGCGAGCACGTCTGTTGTTTGATTGGTTAATTGAGGGCACTCGAAGCAATGTAACTGGTAAGTTTTGGACTTCTTGTCTACATACGTCACAGGTTCTTGTCCCCTTTGTACTAAACCACTTAATGGCACAGGCTTCATGAACAAGTCTTAGATCACCTTTGCAGCTGCATTCCATTTTCAGAGTATTCCCTTCTTCGCAAACGTCTAGACAGATTCTGCAAACCGCTTCTTCCTCTGGAATTTCTTCATCTGTTTCTTCCATGGGAACGGGAGAGGTTTGATCTGCCAAAGAAAGAAGACGTAGTAAACACCATCTACACTCAACATTCAGATGACAAAACATGTTACCTGCATTTGTCTCAGAGGAAACATGAGCTTTGTGGTTGTCAAATGAAATGGATCTTACAATCACTATGTTTCTCCCAGGCATGGACAAGGACCTTGAAACTGATGGATAAGTTGAATCTTTCTGTAACAAAATACAATCTTCTTTTTCGCCTTTTTCCTGCTATATTTTGGACAAGAACAGAAACTCCTTTAGCAAATTTAGTATCTATGCACATTGTAACTGTAATATGCCAAAGAACTCACAATAGGTTGTTCACTGGTCACACTAATTGATACATGTGCAGATGCCTTAGGAGACAGCTTAGAGGCATGTCTAGATGGAAGCGACAAGCATCTTTTCCAGTACGGAGAAGTTGTTGGATTTTGAGCTGTTTCCATGAGAGGGGGAGATAGTAGAGAGCTTCTCTGGCTTTCAGGATGAGCTACTACAACTTTCTTCTTGAAGCTCAGGTTACGCAAGATTCCTCTTGGTGAGGATGTAGTGCCGGTTTTGAATGAACTTGTGGACTTTAATGAACTCTTTGGGTTCCGGACGCCTGCAAATGGAATAGGTCTAGGGGTTATTTGCATTGAAAGATCCAAATGGGTTCCGCTTGGCACATCTTCAGTAGATTTTTCTTTCACCGGATGATTAGCCTATATAAGTAGTAGTAATACATGTCAGAGTTCAGGCCTTTATCATACACAATAAAGCTAACACAAAAAACCGAAAACTTTGCATTTTAAATTCCTATCAGTGACATCTTTAGAACATAGCATAAGTCTGGTTTCCTTTACTTAACTATTGAAAGATACTAACTTTGCAATGGTATAGACCTCAGGCTCAGAATAACAATTTTTCTCCATACAATCGAACATGTCAATAGATTTGTACTAGTCATTTCACGTTTTTCCTCAGAAAAGCTCTGAAAACTTGTATGCATAAAACAATTACAAATGGCTAAGTTTCATAATGAAACACATAAACAAATAAAAAAGGAGAATCTAGGGCTACTAAGTGAATTAAACAGATCAAATCCAGATTCCAGAGGAAGAAAAAACATCTCTAATATAATGTCTAAGTCAATATAAACCCTAAAACTATACAAGGAAAATTCAAGAATAATCCAACCGTAAAAATCAGAAAGAGACAACAAAGATGTCACCTTTACCTTATAATCTACAAACTCATAAATAACAAAACTTTACAGATACGTTTTCTAGCGATTCTTCCACATAAGACACATGCTATGAGGAAAACCTTTTAAATTTACCTAATAATCTACAAAGCCAGAATAACAAAAGCTTATAAGGTTTTAACAAAAGAGACAAAAATGAGAATTTTTTTTTTCGTTTTATGTTTGGAGACATGCACACCTGAGGAGAAGATGATGAAGAACCGCCCACGATTATAGCAATCTCGGCTTGTTGAGCTGCTGAATCTTTTTGCTTCATCATCATCGTACCAACACTAAACCGATGGTATAATTTTACTATATGAAAAATCAAAGCTGCTCGACAAATATTCTATTAGAGAGAGACGAGAAGCAAACTATGTAATGAAATTATTTGAGGTTCTTTTTATACAAATTGATTCCACGACTACTCTACTTTAATTTTCCCATAATCGAATTTAGTAATAATTAATACAGTACCAGCTCTCAGTGGGAGCGGGCCAGGCTCATGCTTCCACCACCAAATAATACTAATTAGATAATGGGCCTTCCTTTGTCAACAATCTATTTTTCCAGTATAACGTCAAATGTTCAGGAAACTATAAGCTCGTCCTATTTATTCCCAAAAATAAAGTTCAAAACTTATTTCTCCATCAAATTTGAGTTAATTATGATTTCTGAAAACCAAATTTTAAATCTTCACTCTTATATAATAAAAACGAACAAAACAAAACCAAAGACAAAACTAAAAACCCAACTAACCCCTGATCTCGATTACACTAAACATTCAAACTTAAAAATATCTGACTGACTGGATTTTAATTCGATAGTTATTGGCTTAACATGGATTACGGTTTGTTTACAAATTGTAAACCAATAAAAATCGATTTTGTAAGGTTTTAGGTTTTGATCTTTATAACTGTGGAGAAATATTGATATAATTTTAATTTGGTGGAGAAATAGATTTGGGATTTTATTACAAGAGATAAATAGAACATAGTCATAGTTATATGGACATTATTTGATGCTATAACGATACTTCTCGTGAGAAAATAGATCGTTAAATCAGTTTTTTTTAGCCTAGTTGGTTATTGAACATTTGTTCACTGTTTAAGAAGGGGAAGTACTCTTATCATTGTACAATCATAGTTAATAGATCCAATAATTTTTGTTTTTGCTTCTAGCCTGCATATTTTATTGTTTTCAAAAAATGTGATTTTGAAAATTTAAATTTATATTGATTTGAAAAGCTACTTTTAAAAATAAAAAAAACTATCATCTTTAAATATTAGGTTGATGAACTTTCTAAGTGGTATATACTTTCATATACACAATACTAATTGAAAATCCAAATAACACATGATAATCTTTAAATAATCACGTACTTTGGTACCTCACTAAAATTTCTTAGTGGAAACTACTATACTCCCAAATATTGTATTACACCACGTGCTACAATGATACTCTCAGATGAAAATAATACTAGTATAGTTTGGTGGGACTTTGAGAAAAGTTGGTGGGTTTTGTTATAGATGTTGACAAATGTTCATTTAATTTAATTTAGGCTGATGGATTTCATACTCCTGAAGATTTATGGTTTAAAATAATAAATTTATATGTTAATATTGCTAAATCAGTTCTCATATCAACAAGTTATAAGTCAAGATTCACAAGACATAACAACAAGTAAATTGATTTATATATTTTTGTGAAGTTCAGGGTTTCAACAGGTTTAACAATAAACTGAAAGATAGTTTATCTATTCTATTTGTTTTGTCAATTCTTGACCAAGATGAATTGTTTGTAATGTCTCATGTTCTTGAATCAGTTAGCTTTTTTGTTCATCAGTGAACTCTCTATTTCAACTAGGTCTATAGTTGTCATCGTTTTACTTGTATGTAAAGTTGTTAGTACTCTTTTTTTTTAATAAATCCAGATTCAAAATGCATGTACTGGAAGGTCATTTATGTTCTCAGATTAAATCAGTTAACACATCAAGTCAGGATACAACATTCAGCAGCAAGTCGATTGCTATTATCAAAGATTATCCCTCACACAGAACATAGTGTCTCCACAGTAATAATCTGCTGTTTTCAGCTCTTGATGTTCTGTCTCTCAGTAACTAGATATAAACAGAGAGCATTACTTTTACTTGCTATATATATGATGAATATGTGACATAGTAAGAGTATACAACAAACAAACAAAGGCGGCAAATAGGAATATTGAATCATGCCATCATCATCATTCATTAGACAGGTTTTTAATCTGTACAATGATAATTGTGATATCATCAGTCCTATTCTCATGCTCCAACCACAGTTTGTATGATTCCGCTGTAGCTGCTGCACATCCATCTCTCGGATCAGCATATCTCCCCACCTGCAAACACACACAACTTCTCAATCACATCTACAGACAAGAGTTGTGTCTTTTATGTCTTATATATATTATTACCATATCAACAACAGCTTGGCTTGGAAGAAACTCAAAGATCCCATCACTTGCAACAACAAAGAACAAATGATTCGGCGAAAGATTAACCATAGACACTTCAGGCTCTGAAGTCACACCAATCCCCTCAGCTGTATGATCTCCAACGCTTCTAGTAAACGCCGTTCCTGGATACATCCCGTTCTGTACCCAAAGCCTAGGCGGGTCACCTCCTTCACTCTCTTCATTAGCCCATGTTTGTATACTCGGATCTTTCAACCCTTCAACTTGATCAACACTCATCACTCTTGCTCCACACGCTTTCACCCTCTCGCATTCATCTTCCCTAAAAGGTGTTTGATCATAAGACAAATCCTCTGCTAAGATCCTGTTCCTGTCTTTAACAGCCAACACGGCCCTCGAGTCACCTACATTAGCAACATAAATCTTGTCTCCAACGACAAGAACCGTAATAGCAGTAGTACCACTCATCGAATCATCGATCTCGCTCTCGTGTAACTCCTCGTTAACCCTCAAGAAAGCAGACTTATAAGCCTTCTCTGGATCTTGAAGCAGAGTAGGGTCTTCAGACAACATCTCAACGACTCTCTCCTTAACGAAACTCGAGCATTGCGTGCCGAACACGCCGTGACCATCGAAGACGCCGAAGAAATGAACGTTAGGGTTGCCTTGTAGCTCGGTTTTGATGCAGTACGCGTCTTGATTCTCCTTATCAGGCGAGTCAGGGTAGTACCCTCGTTGAGAGAGAACAGAGTAAACCAAGTCGAAATTGGGAGAAGGGACTTGGATCGTTGATGAGAGAGGCTTCTGAACGACGACGCTAGGTTTGACCTTAGCGTCTCTGCCACGTCTATGAGAATCTCCTGATGATGATGAAGGTGGATATCGGCTACAACATTTGCATTGAACACAACCCATCTAGGAAAAGAAAAAAAAACAGAGTCGATGATTACACGAAATAAAAGATTCTTTGAAAACAGAGGATGCTCTGTTTCCGCTAGAACAAGCGATCTCCAGGGAAACAGAGAGAAGGGTATTGGTTAGATTCAACAATGGCGTATTGGGAGGTGATGGGTTTTGGAGATGTCATGTTGTGTAGGAGGGGAAGATGTATGATTCAGACACAAAGACAGAATCTTTGTTTTGCCCAATCTGAGCAGAGGAGGAAGAAGAACAAAAAAGGGAACAACTTTATCGTTCGTGTTGGTCTTTTCCGTCCTTTTTTTTTATGTTTGATTCGTGTCTTCCTCAACGTTTCCCCTTAAAGGGTTATTCCTTCGTCAACCCTTTCAAGAGAAAGCGTCAGAAAAAATTCGAGGAACCCTAAAAAGGCGAAACAGAGGAATTTGTTCTCAAAGAAAAGAATATAAAAACAAGAGAGAAGAAAGAGAGATGACTTTTGGTTGATCTGACGGATGAAGTGCACGGATGGTTGCACAAGTTCCCAAAACTAACATAGATTTTTTGAGAATTACAATACTTTCCCGAGAAAAATACTTTTCTCGTTTCATTTTCCCTCTGTAAACGGATCGTGTATCTCAGACATTGTTTCATATAAAAGGTTTAATGGGCCCTAACGTAGTTATTGGGCCCTCACCTATAATTTTACCTCTTTTTCCACGGTAACTTTTTTCCCAACTGTAACTTTTACTACTACTAGACAATAGATTTAACTTAGTTTAAAGATACAATGTGAAGAATGTGAAGGTCCTACAAATAGTTGAAAAGAGGTCATCTTACTACTAATTACATTTTCAACATTGCAAGTTATAGAACTCATCATCATTTATTTTCTTCTAATATCAACTTAGGTCATGTGTTTAAATTTAATTTTGGATGATGTTAATCTGTGTCATAAGGTTCATGATTGGGTCTATAAATATGGATAAAAGTTTATAGAGCATAATGAATTGGACGATGTTTAAACCAAATTAGTTTTATACTAGCATAAAACTCATTGTTAAATGTGTGGGCATGCAGCGACTATATATCTAGGTGAAGACTGGGAGTAACAAACATTTTTATTCTCAGAGAGGGGGGTGAGTATCAGACTCTTTCTTAATTAACAACTTGAGATGGTGTGGTGTTATATTTGGCATATTGATATCAAATTATGGTTTTAACTGTTACTAAATTAAAGACAGGTCTATTTTGAGATGGATTTAAGTAAAAACATTTGTTATTTTACCAAACTAAATGAAAACCATATACAATACATTTTAGAAGAGAATTGTTATTCTAATTTTGGAACTCTCTAAAAAAATCTCCACCAGCACAGTCAACTAAAGGAAACGACAGCAAATCAAATTGATCAACACAATTTCATCGTCCTAAATTAAGCAATAATCTTTATCACAAAAAACAAAACAAAAAAACATACACCAGTTTCTAAGAATCTAAGGAAAGTAGAAACAAAATCTAAAAACTCTCCCCTATTTCAGAGGGAATGGATTTTTTAGACAAAGATTGTGTGGGAAACAGTCCGAACTTCAATCTCTTCCTCACAACTCGACTGCTAATAAAACAAGCCTCTCCTCAAATCCTTTATTCTAGCCCTTCCCTACCAATGGCTCCTCTAATAACTCTAATCTTCCTTTAATTTGTAATTAACCTTTTTATTAAAAAACAAAAAATATAATAAAAGACTTTACCTGAGAATTAGGTTCAGGATGGCCTCAAGGAGCCGCTCATACACACAACTCCTAGGCCTCCTGTCCTTTAACCTCCTCTTGTTCACAACCTCCACAGCAGCTGTTCGTGTAGGAGTCATTCTTCATAAGCCTTCTGCTCCAACCCTTCCTGTATTCAGAGAAGCCCCAGCTTTTAGAAACGGTGATCAATGTGGGAACCAAGAGGCTGATCATATTCATATCGCCATGACTCTTGACACAAACTACCTCCGTGGAACAATGGCCGCCGTCTTGTCTCTCCTACAACATTCAACTTGTCCTGAAAACCTCTCTTTTCATTTCCTCTCCCTTGCTCATTTCGAAAATGACCTCTTCTCCAGCATCAAATCCACTTTTCCTTACCTCAACTTCAAGATTTATCAGTTTGATCCAAACCTAGTCCGCAGCAAAATATCGAAATCCATCAGGGAAGCCCTAGACCAGCCTCTTAACTACGCGAGAATCTACCTAGCTGATATCATTCCTACCAACGTTGACCGGATCATCTACCTAGACTCTGACCTAGTCGTGGTAGACGATATAGAGAAGCTATGGCATGTTGAGATGGAAGGTAAAGTCGTGGCGGCTCCTGAGTATTGCCATGCAAACTTCACGTACTATTTCACAAAATCTTTTTGGTCAGACCCAGAGCTAGTCAAAGTACTTGAAGGGAAACGACCGTGTTATTTCAACACGGGAGTGATGGTCGTAGACGTTGATAAATGGAGGAGAGGAATGTATACACAAAAGGTAGAAGAGTGGATGATGGTGCAGAAGCAGAGGAAGATATACCATTTGGGATCATTACCTCCGTTTCTGCTTATATTCGCCGGTGATATAAAAGCTGTTGATCACCGGTGGAACCAGCATGGGCTCGGAGGTGATAACTTTGAAGGGAAATGTAGAACATTGCATCCTGGTCCTATAAGTCTTCTTCATTGGAGCGGGAAAGGGAAGCCATGGTTGAGACTAGATTCAAGGAAGCCTTGTAGTGTGGATCATCTATGGGCTCCTTATGATCTTTACCGTTCATCAAGACATTCGTTAGAAGAGTAGAGGCAAAAACATAACAAGATGGGACATATTTATAAATATAATACTAGGAGAGGAGAAGGTACAAAAAGTTTTTTCTAGCAATCAAAGAGAGTGAAACTTATATTTGTAATTTTTGTAACACACACTCTTAATGCAAAAAGACGTTGTGCATGTGCATTGAGCTCAGTAGAGGGATGGTATCATTGTTATCATTTCTTTTTTCTCCTACGTTCAAGTTTTTTTTGTTCTTATATTAACCTGCTTCATCGTGTAATATATAGGTAGCATTATTACACAAATGGAGGATTTACAATTACTTCTTTAATTGAACTGTCTAATATCTTATTCGGTTAGAAACCACACATTGGTCAAGGATCTCTCAAGCTGAATATCTCAAAATGTAAGCAAACACTATACTGATATTTGATTAAAAAGTTTTTAACATTTTGAAAAATTCATGTCACAAGCGCTTCAATAAAAGAATCTCTAAATTTTAGAAAAACAATTAGTATTAAGTTATGACCAATTTAAGCACCAACATAAGTCTTGATTTTTGGCTGTAAATTATTGATTACTTCTTTTGGTTAAACATATTCAATTAGGTAAATATATCCAATCAGATAAACATATTAAGAGTTGCTCATCAAAAACATAGCTCACATGAGCTAATAATGTTCATAACAAATTAATTTTGAATGTTTGTTTTTTCGATGACTGCTTAAATATGTGATTTTGTGCAACATGTTAAATATCACAATATGTTTTATTCAGTCCTCTACACCATATGGGTTTGATGATATGTTGATTCAAATCTTTCTCCATGATCTTTCATGTCCATCCTTATCCATCGTTTTCGTTGTTTCTATCAAAGATCGTTTCAGACAGCATGATTTTTTTTTTTTTTTGGCATTTCAGATGATCCGAAATCTGGTTTCAATTTGTAATAAAGGATCTGAATCCCAGTCAAATCTCGGTTATACCAAACCAATTTCCTTATTATTAAACATGATAATTTTTTCACCAACCAGTTTAGTAAATTATCATGAACTAGTTTGAACTAATCACATGTTACCAGTGATATTAGTTCAATCTTAACTCACTTTTCTTGTCAATTTTAAAATGAAATATTTCTCTATTGTTTAATAAACGTTTCCATAATCCTATATTTACTATTATCATCTCATTGTATGTATTACCTTCATATCCAACATTTTTTTTTAATAAGTCATTTTATCATTTGAGTTAATTACAAGTTTACAACTAACATATATTTTAAAAGTTTAACACATTAAAAATCATGTCTTTTACTGTATTACAATTTAGCCATTTTGCAAAAATAATAATATTTATCACTATTTTGATTAAATTTGTAACAAGATCTGGAATTTTAAGTAAAAATAAAATAAAAAGATCTGGCATTTACTGAGAAATGTAAAAAAATTTCCAAAAATAGGTAAACATTAACAAGTTTCGACTCTCTCCAACACCGCTTTAGCTAGCTTTTCTCTCAACAGTTGAAGGGTTATGATATTTGTTGCGGGGATCACCCCTCTTATTACTGAATGTCCTAGTCGATGTGAAGAGGTGGGAGCTCCTCTGCAAATTAGCAGTCGCATGTTTGTTGTCCGACTGCAGATTAAAGGAGGCAATTTCTCTCATATCCTTATATCTCATTTTCTAATTTTTCTAAGAAACATTTCTTTTTTTAATTTTATATATCAAACAAAAATCATAGAATTAAACTGGAAAGGTGAATATATTTTATTTGATTTATAGAATTTGAGAAAAAATATTTCAAAAATAAAAAAAAATTCATATTTTCACGGAAATCAATAAAATATGATTAAAACAATTTTAAAATATATTTTCCGAAATTTGGTCACTATAGAATTTAAATATTTGCCCCAAAGGTTCACTAATCTATAGGGGGTTATGATTTAGTTTTGAACACCGAAAAGGATTGAATTTGGAAGTTTAAGTTTTAATCAAAAAAAATTATAAAACAGAGGTATTTAAATTGCCTCAAATTAAAGACATCAATGTTATGATGTTATCATATATAACATGTTTTAAAACCCTCTCTCTCGGTGAGAGTTTTCCTTTTAATAATTTAAGAGATTAAAAAAAACCAAAATGTGTAAATGCATAAAGGGCATATATGTAAAAACCCACCTTCCTCCCTCCTCCTCCTCCTCCTAAAATGCTCCATCTCCTCCTCCTCCCATCTCTCCGACGAAGATCCCCACCAGCATGCCCTCTCCCCACACCTCCTCCTCCTCCTCCTCTTCCTCTAGATCTCTCCACCCTTGCAAACACTCCCCTTCCGCAACCCTCGACCTCCTAATCCTCCTCCTCGTCCTCTTCTCCGCCACTTTCCTCCTCTCCTCCTACTTCTCCTACCTCTTCCACTCCTTCTCCCTCCTCTCCTCCCACTTCCCTCCCCTCCTCCTCGATCTCTCCTCCATCCCCCCCGCCTCCTACCTCCTCGCCTTCGCCGTCTTCTTCGCCGCCTCCATCGCCTTCCTCGACCTCTGCTGCGGCCCCAGATCGAGGAGGTGCCGGAACCCCAAGTGTAAGGGGCTGAAGAAGGCGATGGAGTTTGATCTGCAGATACAGAACGAGGATTGCGTTAGATCGGGAGGGAGTAAGGAGATTGATAGGTTGCCGTGGAAAGGAGGGAGTGAAGGGAATCCTGATTATGAGTGTTTGAGGGCGGAGTTGAGGAGGATGGCTCCGGTTAATGGTCGTGCTGTTTTGCTTTTTCGATCTAGGTGTGGTTGTCCTGTTGCTAAGCTTCAAGGGTGGGGACCTAAACGTGGCCGGCGTCATAAAAAGTAAGGAGCTTTTGTTTCGGTTATTGATTGTTATTACAAAACACACAATCTTTTTCATCTTGTTTGAGTTTTTTTTTTGTTGTCTGAATTCATTTCTTTGTTTGTCTTTTTGAGTTTTGTCTGAATGGAACATAAGAAGCCATTTGATCACGTTTTCGTTTGAGAATGATTATTACTACAAAAACACAGTCTTTCATCTTGTTGAGTTTTTTTTTGTCTGAATTCATTTCTCTGTTTGTCTTTTTGAGTTTTGTCTGAATGTAATATAAGAAGCCATTTGATCACATTGATTAGTTTTCGTCTGATTCTTGCTTGTGATTGATTATTACTACAAAACACAGTCTTTCATCTTGTTGAGTTTTTTTTTTTTTGTGTCTGAATTCATTTCTCTCTGTCTCTTTGAGTTTTGTCTGAATGTAACATAAGAAGCCACTGATCACATTGATTAGATTTCGTCTGATTTTTATTGATAATAATGTCTTAAAGTAAGACAATTCTATTTGTCTCTTTGAATTTTGTCTGAGCATAGCATAAGCGAATGATCACATTGATCAGTTTCTATCTTGATGAGTGAATGTACCAAGGATTTATGTAATCCTAGCTTCTTTTTTTTTGTCATTATTAAGGGCTTTTAGATGAATTCTTACGAGTTGATTCCTTCTGATTGATAATAGTAGTTTTTTTTTTCTATGTTAGCTATTGATAATTAGGGATTGAATTGTGAAGTCTCTTGGTAAAAGAGTAGCTTTTTATATTCTTCATGGCTGTGCTGATCAGATACGCTGTGATTTTGAGATGATTGAGTATTCCAAGTGAGAAATGAAAGGGAATCAAAGGAGGCATGATGATGTTTGTTGCTTTTTTTAATTTAGGAAGTTTTTGATATATCCAGAAGGACATTATCTTGGCACATATACATCTTATATAGCTGTGTTACTGGAGTTTTGAGTATAGTAGTTAGATTCGAAGAAAAAAATGGGAGCTTTGGACATGGAGTATGATTACTGGCTTAAGTCGTTCTTACTAGAAATCATGTTGTTTTTTATAGCCATTGTCTTGTCTCATGTTGTTCGAAATCGTGGTTCCACAGTCTAGGCTTATTTATGCCATACTATTATAGAACATATGAGGCAATGAAGAGCAGCTTCAGTCCAGTTGACTGCCCTTACTGATAAGAAACTCCATCTTTGCTCCAACTGTTATTGATGCAAAAGTCTCTTGTTGCTTTGCTTTACAATATTTTCTGTCTGAAAGTCTTCTTTGCTATTTCACTTGGATATGAACATGATCTTGGATGGATTGTGCCAATATCATCATATTTTTGCATGCTTTCATAATGCTCGATACATGGTGCTACGTAGGCAACTGCCAACAACCTTTAGTTGATCACTCTCTTATTTTTATTAATCTGTAGATGACTTGTAATATTATCGACATATGCTACCTACTCATCAGTTGATTTTGTGATTTGTGTTGTCTGGTCTCTTTGTTAGTCTGCCTCATATCTCTCATTTGTTCTACAATCATATCAACTTGTTCTTTAAAGAACTTTTATCCTTCACTCATTCGATTTCTTCGCATTGTATCCTGATTCATTTTCATGCCTTTTATCTTATGTAGATCGCAAGCAAACTTGGCTTTAAAAGGAGGGATAGACAAGCGCTGATCAAGATCGATGAGAACTCTTTCAATCTATCATTTATAGATGTTATCACATTCAATGTTTGCAGAGTTCATCTTGGAAACTAAAGAAAATCCACACATCTTCTTTTACCTTAGAGATGTCCCAGTATTACGATTTGAACACTTTTTAACTCTTTATTAAATACATACCATGGCAAACTAAAGGAGAGGCTATCTAATTGCGAATATTGGTTGATGTGAATCTTTTCTTGTTAATTTGATAATTAGACTCCTTCCGGATCATCACTTTCGTATGAAACCTTTTTTCCTTGAGAAGTAGAATCTTTGGGGGTCACACAAGAATACAAAAACAACATTTTACACTCTACTTACTGAACAACACAGATTACAATCACTAATCCTTTTACAAATGAAAAATGCACAAATCATGACTCTTCTACAATTGTGTTTACCAAAGTGTTACAAGTCACTATCTCCCTCAAGAGTTGGTTATTTAGTGTAACCGTTGCTTCACTCGTCTCCCATTAACGTCACAGCCCTCAACATATAACTCCTTCCCATGCCCTGATGATGGTAAAGAATGCTCACTCAGCCTAGCCACATACTCCAAGAGCTCACTTAGTAAGCAAGGGCAGCTTTCCTTCAGATAATCAAACCCATCCGTTTCCATCACAGCTAAAAGAAATTAACAGAAAAAGAGCGGTTTCAGATTTCAAAGATGATTTGATCAAAGTGATGCAAGCAAAAAGGAACTCATTTTTACCTTTTAGGTTTTCTGGCAAAGCTATGAATTTGAGGCAAGCAGATTTCAGCTGAAAACAATGATGCTGCTCTGCTAGAGCCAAGGTGGTTGCAACCGTGTTGATGCTAATTCCTTCACAGAGTTGTGACTCGCAGATTGTTCTAAGTCTGTCAAGAGCATAACGGTCTGCAGCGGCAAGAAGATGCTGAGCCACAAGAGTCGCTGCCCATTTAAAGTCTGTCCCCATAACGTCTTGCATATCAGGCAGTTCGTCCCAGTAGATAAAATGGAGGAACATCTGCAAAACAAAACACAGTATAATAAAAAGATCAGCATACACTCCAACCTTTAATTTTCAGGATTCATGATCTGAACTCGCATATCTGCTTATAAGACCTGGGACTAAAACTAACAGCCTCAAATTGACATAACCATTTACTGACATAACCATGTACTGAGAAATGGCGACAAAGCAGCAATGAATAAGATACAGCGATTCATGCAAACAGAAGAGAATCAAAATGACTAAGCAAGATTTGAGAACAAGAGCAGCGTCCCAGGAGAAGGTCCTGTATCACACCACAACCACTCACCCTAGAAAAGGCAATGCACCAAGAAAGCTATCTCTTTCTAGTTTCAATAAAATGACCTTATAAGACCTGTGACTAAAACTAACAGCCTCAAATTATAAAGCTACAAAATTTTCAAAACCCTACTAAGACATTTCAACGAACAAACAGAGACTTAAACAAAGAAAAGAGCTAAAAGGAAGACCTTGAAAATGGGAGCTCCCATGTCTTCTATGTTAATACAATTAGTATCATGATTTCTCAACGGACCAAAGATCTGCGCCCTGAAAACAGGAGAACGAGCCGCAACAACCAACTTATGAGCAGGAAACGTCTCTCCATCAACTTGAAATGTAACATCAACTCCTCTCCCACTCTCCAAAAGCTTCCCAAACTGATTACCAAACTCAGAAACCGGCACAGGGATATTATAACTCCTCGGTCCCTCTGTCCTTGACTTCACCAACCCAACACAACACCGAACCAACAAACAATTATCCTTCAAATAATCAGATGACTCCAACAGAGACCTCTTAAAAAACCGTTTATAACCCCTAAAATAAAAAAACATAAACACATCAAAAACACATCATTACAATGTCAGAGAGAGAGACAAGAGACTCACCACATACTTCCTCTGTACTTAAGAGTATAAGGCCCACTCTCAAGAGTCCTCCCAAAATGGCTATGCACCTTATGCCTTTCATTACCGCTCTGATCCACAAGCGTCAGCTCAAACAAAGCTCTCACATCAGCTCCTTCGCTCGCCAAAGCTATAAAGAGAGACACGTAAGCAGAGTTATCCTCAGGACTCTTCCCATCTGGGTAAAAGTAAATGGCCCAGGAGTATCCACCGAGGGTGAAAGTCTCAGAGGCCACGTATTTGCCTACACCCATTCCTTTGATTAGAGAGTATCCGCTGATTTTGAATTCGTGTGTGCCGTTGATTGTTTCCGTGTGAGAGGTTGACTCCGTGGAAACCCTAATTGCGTCCATCAAGCAGAGACGAGATCTTAAAGGTCGCGACTTTGGTGAGGGAAATTGAGGGCTTCTTCGATTTAGTTGCGTGGGATCAAGACCCAAGTCTTGGAATCTCGAAAGGAGGTGGGGTGGGATTGTAATTGGGGAAATTAGGGTTTCGAATTAGAGAGGGGAAAACGAGAAATTGAGAAAATTAAAAGGAAATGAGGAGTTGAATCGATTAATTGGTGGTGTTAGTCGGAGCTGAATCGTCGTGGATCGTGGCGACGACGTTGGCCGAAACGAGAGGATGAGAGAGATGTGTGAGAGAGAGAGAGCACTTTACTTGTTCATCTGTTTCTTTTTATAACATTTGGTAAGTTAACGGTATATAAGGATAAATAAATAAATATTAGGAGCTGGATTGAGTATTTTTCATTGTAAGGCAGATTCATCTTTTTTATTTCAACAAAAGACACTTTGAGCTACTAGGGTAGTTTATTTTGGTTGTTTACTTTGGTGCCCTCAACTAAAACCAAACCAACGTTACATTTTCTAACTAGTGGGACCTATCATCTTCTCTCTCCTACCTTTCTTCTCCATTAATCTCGTTCTTTCTTTGTTTTCTAGCAGAGAATTGATTTTTGGGGGGTTCTAATATTTGTTTGTTTCTCAATCGATAGGTGGTGAGACAGCGGAGAAAGAGAATCCGGCTGGTGATTTACCGGAAAGACTGTTCGCGACGGATCGGTTCCCTTGCGAAAGGGTGAACACCTACTGGACAATTGATTTCTTGTTGACAGTTAAAGATGCATTAGAGGGTTCATCAGAGATGTATGTTTTAATGTTTTGTAAGTTTTGAAGGTAAAAACACAGAAATAATGAAGATTGGGTGATAAAAATTAATGGTGGCTTTGAGAGAAAACACAGAAAACCCTAATATAAAGAAGATGAAATTATTACAAAATTGCCACTAATTGATAACGTGTTTGTGTACATAATGTTAGTGTACACGAGTACATTGAGTGTGTCGTGTACATAATTTAGATGATGAGGATGTGTACATAAATTGTGTATGTACTTTTGTTCGTGTACACGAATAAAGTGAACAACCTTCATACGTTTTGTCAAAATACATCCACATATACAATGATTCACATGTACACAAAGTTAACTTGTAAAAGAATACATAAACACTATACATTATTTTTCCAACAAAAGGAATGTAACTTTTGCCTATACATTATAAACACTATAAACACTAGTTGAAAATCACATGTACACTAGTTCTNTACACGAATAAAGTGAACAACCTTCATACGTTTTGTCAAAATACATCCACATATACAATGATTCACATGTACACAAAGTTAACTTGTAAAAGAATACATAAACACTATACATTATTTTTCCAACAAAAGGAATGTAACTTTTGCCTATACATTATAAACACTATAAACACTAGTTGAAAATCACATGTACACTAGTTCTTTGTACAATATTTTATAGAAAATCACATGTACACTAGTTCTTTGTACACCGCTCCAGTTATGATTTTTATAAAAATCACATGTACACTAGATGTACACACATTTTAGACTAAAGTTTTGTTTGATAGATGTATACACGTTAGAGACTTGATGGGTTCAGTATCATTGTGTACATTTGGTGGGCTTGTTCTTGTAGAACTGACGCTGATCCAGAGCATGTACACGAATTCTTTTATAAAAATCAGATGTCCACATGTACAATGTTTTATAGAAAATCACATTGACATTAATTCTTGTACACCGCACAAGTTATGATTCTTATAAAAAACACATGTATACTAGATGTACACACGTTTTAGACGTGGATATGTAAAATGATGCACACAAATCCATCTACAAAAAAAGTTATGATATCTAATGATTTTATAAAAATTCATATGTACACTATTTCCTTTATAAAATCACATTTACACTAGTTCACATGTATACTAGCTCTTTTATAAAAATCACATGTCCACATATACAATGTTTTATAGAAAATCACATATACAGTAGTTCTTTTGTACACTGCACAAGTTATGATTTTTATTAAAATCACATGGACACTAGAGATGCACACACGTACACATTTTCACATGTGTACAAAAATTATATGTGTACATTTTCACCATCATTAGTAAGAACAAATGGTTATGCATGTGAAGTACGTATAATATTAAGAAATTTAAATGATTGATTTGACTGTACATACGTAAATCTATAACATGAATACCATTTTAGTTATAGTCTCAATTATACACCAACAAAACATGTACACAGATTATTGAATATCATCAGTAAGAACAAATGGTTATGCATGTTAAGTACGTACAATATAAGTAAGTTTAAACTATTCGTGAGAATGTATACATTTACATTTATAACATGGACACAATTTTAAAAACATCATCAATGAAAAATATCTTCAGTAATATGGCTGATAGTCTCAATTGTACACATAATAAGTATATACACATATTTGTATACATCATCAGTAGAAAATTACATGCACACTAGTTTTTTTGTACACCGCACAAGTAATGATTCTTATAAACATATGATACACATTAGATGGTACACACGTGTCCATCAAAGATAAAATTATTATTATTTTGTGTACAATTGTATTGTGTATGTTATGTATCGCGTACACATGTACACCAAAATTGTTAACAAGGGGATCCAGTGGTTGGGATAATACATATATAAGTCTTGCATATACTGGAGAAGTAATCTGAACCATTGAAAGGGTAGAGGGATGAGTGGCGTGAAATTGTTCTCGTGAGTGTAGTTGAAAATCACATGTACACTAGTTCTTTGTACAATATTTTATAGAAAATCACATGTACACTAGTTTTTTGTACACCGCTCCAGATATGATTTTNGTGGTTGGGATAATACATATATAAGTCTTGCATATACTGGAGAAGTAATCTGAACCATTGAAAGGGTAGAGGGATGAGTGGCGTGAAATTGTTCTCGTGAGTGTAGTTGAAAATCACATGTACACTAGTTCTTTGTACAATATTTTATAGAAAATCACATGTACACTAGTTTTTTGTACACCGCTCCAGATATGATTTTATAAAAATCACATGTACACTAGATGTACACACGTTATAGACTAAAGTTTTGTTTGATAGATGTACACACGTTAGAGACTTGATGGATTCAGTATCATTGTGTACATTTGGTGGCCTTGTTATTGTACAGCTGACAAGAATTCGTTTATAAAAATCAGATGTCCACATGTATAATGTTTTATAGAAAATTACATTTACATTAATTCTTGTACACTGCACAAGTTATGATTCTTATAAAAAATACTCATGTGTACAATATATGATATCTCATGTTTACAATATATGATATCTCATGTTTTTAATGACTTTTAGCATTTCGTTTTGTGTTAACATTATTGTGAGTTCATGAAGTCGTAGATGTTTAGTTATTTAGATAGAAAACCTACTAAAAAGTGTACACAATAATTTTGATGTATAATACAAATTAAGTGTACACATGTACAGTTTGAATGTAATGTACACACGAATTGTTTTTCATTAATGTTGAAAAATTACCAAAATGACCTCATCTTCTTCCTTAGCCATTTTCGACCAGAAACCCCAATTTCTGTCGAAATCGACAATTTTCTATGATTCTTTACATTTTTAACTTGTTTTTAATGTATTTTGTACCCAGATATGTTAGCTTTCAATCCTAATTCATGGATCTGAAAAGTTTGAAAAAATGTGATTTTTTTTTGTTTCAAATTTGTTGAACGATTTGTTCCAAATCGTTACGTTTGAGTGTTCCCTTCTTAAAAACGATGTCTGATTAGGGCTAATCAAGACATACAACAACAAATTCTCAGAAGGGTATGTTGAAAGAAATTGAAAAAAGAAATTGATGAGATTTAACACCAGTTTCTTAAGTAATTCCGTAAAAGTTATTTTTTTGAAAAAAATAAAAACGATTTTAGAAGGGTTGTGATGAAATCCCATCAATAAAATAAAGAATAGATATAAAACTTAGTTAGTGTATGGAATTAGTTAGAAATTTATTTAGTTAGCTTTTAACTATAAGATGAGCTTAGTTAAATAAAACTACCTTAGGAGCAGAATCTGCCTTTTTGTGATATAAAAAAGTAGAAACTGTCCTAGAGTGATATAATTTCTGGATTTAATCAGTTTTAGAGTTATTTGGTTTGGTAATAACAGCAAAATAAAAAAATGATATATGATGAAGTCAATTCGCTTTGATAACATGATGAGATGTTTCCAAAATCATGATTAAGGCCATTATTATCAAATTAAGATCTAATTTGTATGCTAAAGGGTAGCTCAAAGATATGATATGTCCATCCTGTGCATGTTTAAGGACATTGTTATTAAAAAAAAATTGAAGTAGAGACTCTCACGAACTTTATTACTAAATTAAGTAGAGAGTTTTTCTAACACCTAGAAAAATTCATAGCTAAAATTTTTCTGAAAGATTTGTATATTAATTTCTCAAGATTTTGAATATTTTTAACTAATTGTTAATATAATTTGTGTTCATGTTATAAGATACATGAAATTCGTTAGAGCATTGCTATTGAGATTTTATCACAATAAAAAATAGTTTAAAAAACGGTTAAAAGTAAGAAAGAGAAGAGAGTGTTTTTTTTTAAGAAACTTTCAAACATTTATTAAAAAAAAAAACTCAATTTGCATGACTAATTGCTTTGGCTAGAGATAATCGATTTTTGATCTCAAGCTTTCTCTTCCACAGCTTCTACCACTAGCCTCTCCTGCCCTGCTGCTTCCCTATCGCAGCACCACAACACCTCAGCAACAGTTACGTCCTGCACAAGCAGCACCGTCTCAGCTTCTGATTTGGAGATTATCAAAGTTCTCGGCACAGGAAATGGTTTACAAAGTTAGCCACAAGATAACCTCAGCGATCTATACATACATGCAGAACTGCAGATGATGATGTGGAAGTTTTAAGCTAGTTTAGCAAATTTAGTGATGATTTTTATCATGGAAAATTACAACTTTGACTCGGATACAACAAGTTCGATACAAGTTAAAACATATAGTTCAAAGGTAAGTAACTCAAACATTGGCAAAGGTCGATACAAGTAACAATAATTAACTTTACATGAGCTTATTAATTTCTAGCAAAGTGTCAAGCATGTTCATGTAGCGATACACGCTAGCTAGTACATGTATACTTTTGGCTTTAGTTGGTAGAGAGGATAACTTCAGGAACAAAGCTTTTCTGAACTTCAAAGGTTAGATCCTCTAAGCTTATGTGACACTCCAGTCCTATCTGCATTTGTAACATTTAATTATTTTGAGCCTAAATCAATATTAAGAACCAAAACATTCACATTAATGTTATTTGATCCAAATATAAACTAACACTTATAGAATTGGTTAGCATAATTGTGTTCTGTGAGACGTTAACTCACCATAGGTTTACACCCTAAATTCAATCCAATGTCTGATGATATTTTGTGAGTTTAATTGGTTATTAAATTTTCAGTGATTGAGCTAACATATTGTAGATATGTACCTTAACAACGAAGAAGTACAAGACAGTCTCCTCCATGCTACTAATATTGAGATGAAGAACCTGAAAAGATAGCTTCTCCAAGGCGGATACAATCCTCACAAGCTGGCCCTCAATTCGTCTAGAGACAACTCTCAATACAACGTTAGAGCCTGAGATCTTGGCTTCGACATTAGCATGAGGAGAGTTGCAACATGCTCCTACTTCTTTGAAAGTGCTTGTGGTCATCACGTTCTCTATTCGACTAAACGGCACTCTGCTGGTTGCATTGGTGGTGTTGGCTAGGGACTCGAGTGTTTGGTGATCATGCAGAAAAGAATGCCCGTTTAGTGTTTTTCGACGTTTCTTGGACTCAAGAACCTGTACTAATTGCTGCATCTCTTTAATGAACTCTATCACTCCTCCTATTATTGAAGCTTGATCTCCCTAAAACCCGATCATTAATCATCGAAAACAAGACCATACTTATGAATATACTGGTGCAGTGCGAGTAGAATTTGTTGTAACAAAACAATTAAAAATATTTAGTCATCATAACACATATATCCAATAGAACAAACGCAATTAAAATATATAGGATGACATAACCTGTTTTCCCAAAATTGGTAACTTTAGAATATCTATGATTAGAAAGATAACCATATTGCGTGATTCAATACGAATTCAAAACGTTTATTTCTACACAGATTTTTCTTTGAGTCTTGAAAAAGAAACTACTCGAAAAGATTCAATTAATTTTCAAGAATATTTTATTAGAACCTTTCAAATTATTTCAACAAAGGAATTAAATTACCGATCATTGAACCCAATTGGATAAAATTCAATGAATTTGAAAAAGATATAGCATGAAGTTACCCTTTTAATGTAAAAACAAGGAGTCAAAGAACGAAGCGATTTGAGATGTTCATTCATTTGCCTTCTTCGATTCCTCTCAACAGCGATGTGAGACATGATCTTTGACTTATCTCCTCTACGGTTCTTGTCTATAAAGAAGAAGATGGTCACTTTCCACCTTTTTCGACACATTCTTCAAAACAATGTGGTATTTATACAACCGCAAACAACGAGAGAAAGTTAATTAGGGTTTAATTTTTTCAAGGGTTCATAAATGCACTACGTCGCTGTCTCGTGACATTATTTTGCTATTCGTATGATAGTAACAAAAAAAAAGTATAAAATACAAAGTAAAAAGTAGAGAAAGGTATGCATACATAAACATACGTCACGTTTGTGAAGTTGGATACATTTACATTTAGATTCACTGTGTGAGGTCTTTTATGACTTCATATTGTTTGTTCATTTAGAGTGCATGCCTTTGCACCACCCTCTTTTACTCTAGTTTTTTGTATAAGTTTTAGTTTCTACCCCTTGTGCCTCCTTGTTAATAAATATAAAAATATAATTTAGATATTGCTTACCTTATTAAGACTTTTCCAAAAAATCTAGAAATTCTCACATTAATTACCGGCTCTAGTCCATTTGGCATGCTTCTAAAGGTTGTCAACCTTCTTATGGATGGAGTTCTTTAGTATTTGGTCGTGAGCTCCTAAACAAAGGAATACAAGTACAAATAGGGAATGGAAAATCTACACCAATGGACGCTCACTGGTTACCAACACATCCACCTAGGGCCCCTAAATTATTACCTTATACAAACCCATTACTAGAAGTATCAACTTTGATTGACCCGGTAACATACCAATGGGATCAACAACAGTTGGATGACTGCATTGATGCTAATGATCATCATATCATCCAGAGGATTTATCTACCAAAAACCCCACAGCAAGATAACGTTGTCTGGAGTCATACAAAAGATGGAAACTACACAGTCAAATCAGGTTACCATGTGGGAATATCAGACAATCTAATTGACACCACAAGACGACCACCTCTAGCTCATCACCCTGATCTTGCCAAAAGTATTTGGAACATTGATGCACCACCAAAACTAAAACATTTCCTTTGGAGGGTTCTATCTAATGCTTTAGGAATCAAGTCAAATCTTCGATCCCGAAATATCAACGTTGATCCATTATGTTCTCGATGCTGTTCCGAAGAAGAAACTAATGACCATCTTTTCTTTGGTCATTTTGCAAAGATGATATGGTGTTTAACAGGACTACCTATCATATTTCTACAGCGAGCAGATGTTCAATTTGAAGATAAAATACGATACTTACTAGATATTATGGCAGATAAAAATATACCAAGATCAACTCGACTACTCTCTATATGGTCTTTATGGCGATTATGGAAATGTAGAAATGATTTAATGTATTCCGCAAAGGACAACTCCCTCAGAAAATGTTTTGATTCAATAAACGCTGATATTATAGAGTGGGTTAGTATCGTCGATATGGACCCTATAGCTACTTATCCGCCTGGTGCTTCCTCGCGACATATTTCTAAATGGAAACCACCACCAGAGGGCTGGGTTAAGTGTAATTATGATGTATCACTTACACAATATCATACCTCTGGGATGGGTTGGGTGATTCGGAACTCTCATGGAACACTATTACACTGCGGAATGGGGAAATTTGAAGGAAGGCATACGGTGGAAGAAGCAGAGGCTTCAGCCTTAATATGGTCCATGCAATGCGCTTGGTCTTTGGGATATAGATGCGTTATTTTTGAAGGTGATAACCTCAACTTATGTCAACAAATATTGCAGAAGTCACGGGCTCCAAAACTACGTTGGTATTTCATGACAATAGATCGTTGGAAGCAACAATTCACATCAATACTCTTTCATCATACAAGACGTCAAGGGAATGCAGTTGCTGATAAATTAGCAAAAACAATAATTTCTGGTACTCAAGATTGGAACCTGTTCCATATCTGTCCTTACTTCTTACAACATCTTGTAATTTGTGATCAATAAATCTTTTCAGATGGCAAAAAAAAAAAAAAAAAAATTACCGGCTCTAGTTAGTAAAGTTAACATATCTCGATGCTTGAATAAACATTTTAAGTTCTTAAAGTTCCTTTAAGTAGTCCCCGCGAAATGTGGAAGCCGGAAAAAATATTCGTGGCCTATGTTTGTTGCCGCCAATGCTATGCTACAATATGCATAACAGTATAAGACATGCAAAGGTGCATGCCCAATTTAATTAAGGGATTGAATTATTAACGCGCACATCGCTATTCAATTTGTCCATGGTCTATCACGTTATATAATACGGATCGGCGAGGCAATACGAAAATAATTAAAAAATACAATAAGGAAACTCACGCTCGATCAAGATACAATGTGCATGCACATAATCAAATAAACAATTAATATCTTATCCGAATGAATATAGAGAATTTGATTGTATGACTTATGAATTTACAAATTAGAACAACAAGGTACATCATCTTATAAAGTTCTGATTTTTTCAATGTTTTTTTCTTAGGAAAACACACATTATGTATGTTTTTTTCTTTTCCATTCGATATGTATGTTATAAACATAGCATTTTTAATCAACAAAATATAGTTATGCATCTTGTTTGGGATTGGTTCATTCATCCTCCTTCAAAATATTAATTGTAGTAACAAAATATTTTTTTTTCTTTTATCAAAGTAACAAAACAAATCTAAATTCCGCATTTTCATTTATTTAATGGACATGACAAAAAGCTCACCATCAATTGTTCACAAGAAAAATCCTTCACAACACGAAACTAATGAGTTTTCTTGTCATCACGAGGCTTCTTCGTAATCTCTTGAGAGTTCATGAACACTATCTTCTTATAGTCCGAGTCCTAATCATATACTGCATGCATGTAATAGCAAAAAAACATGATTTGTAATAATACCAGTTGGTTTACAACTTAAAACTGTGTCTGGCTAGTAAAAGATACTTGTATTCAAGCATTTAATCAATGAGCACCAGTGGTCTAGTGGTAGAATAGTACCCTGCCACGGTACAGACCCGGGTTCGATTTCCGGCTGGTGCATTTTATACCTTTTTTATGCTTTATTTGTTTTGAGCCGTCAAACGTTTTCACTTATTTACAAACCAGGATTTTTTTAGTGCTGCCAATGAATTAAGAATCGTCTTGTTACGATGAGAGTTCCTCAGCTGTCAATAGATACTAGTCCTCAGTTATCAATAGAGGAATTAATCTGGGTTAGAACAAGTCTCATGTGAGATTAGGAAGTTTTCCATGTTAGGTCCAGAACCAATCAACCTCTTTGGGACCTCAGAGTTACAGATATGTTGACACTTGACAACAAGGTTTGAAAAGACAAAAGTCAGATCTAAATAGGAAAAAAACTGTCACAGACTCACACCCACATGCCCATCACTCTCTTTTTTTCCATATTATTAATTTAGTATATTTAATTTCTTCTTATTGAACATACTAGTCTATGCATGTTCTTGATATAAAGGGAAACAATCACATTGTAGACATTTATATTTGTACAGCTGTATGTTTTCTGTCAACTAGCTGTAGTTTATTTAAATTAAATGTCAATTAAGACTTAAGCATCAATATGTGAAAGTATTAAACTTAAAACATGTTTCTCACAAGTTGCAGAGTAAGAACTACACCTATTTCAGTTTTTAACAACGTAGTCACGTACTCAGGTACCACCCTCACTTGTGGAACCGGTTTAAGAAAAACTAAGATTAATTTCACAAACAAATATAGTTACGTATTTATCTCTTTTATGTAGTGCAATATAATATACTACACATTTGAAATTGGTAAAATATAAGAGATTTTGATTTTGTTAAAATATAAGAAATTGGTAAAATATAAGAGATTTTGTTAAGCTAAAACTTGAACTACTTTATAATTTTTTAAGTAATGTAGTATTACTATCCGCATGTGACTTAATTATGCATCTCATTGTTTTGATTTTGGGACTGATATTGGGGTGTGTTTGATCACCTTTTGGCACTTACTATAGATGCTTTGTAATAGAAAACAAATCAATTCAATCATTGAGTTTTCAAGAACTTAATCTTGTACCACCCCACTCAAAATAGAACAATTCCTATAGGAGCCTCATCAGCGAATAAGTTAGCTAAAAGGGGTCTAAAATGGTAGGCGCAACGTTAAAATCGAGCTGACAAGAATAGCAATAAAAAACAGTTATCAAGGGTAAAAGTTAAGTAACCATTTTGCTCACTCGTCTATATCAATAAATAAAAGCCCTTCATTGCCAAGAAAAATAAAAGAAAATCTCATCAGAGAGTTCTCAAGAATCAGTTTCAATGGTGATTAAAAACAAGCTTCCACTTCTTCTCCTTCTCTCCATCATCCTTCTCTTCCTCAACCACCCTGTGCTTAGCGACACTGGTAACTTTCTCTCTTCTTGATCTTCTTGTTCAAGTAAGCTCTATGTTCTTGAAGATTCTCTCTCTTGCTAGATTCATTGTGTTTACTTTAGATCTGATGTGGAATCTCTTAGGATCTGTTCTTTCACTTCATTTATAAGTTTTTTTTACTAGATCCAGTTAGTAAACAACTAATAGTTTCTAAACTATACTAATATACAATCATTAATTTATAGATATTACTTTGATTTAAGATTGTGAATATGCTCTATATAATTTAATTAGTTTTTGACTTGCAGATGAAGAGGACGTTCTTTTCACAGGCATCAACAGCTACAGAACATCACAGAATCTTACAACTCTAAACAAGAACGAAAACGCAGAGTGTCTAGCCGACGAAATCGCTGAACAGTTCAAGAACAGACCATGCACCAACGACACTGGCTCAGCCACAGTACCTGGAACCGAGCCACAGTTCGCAGCTTACCCTAAGATTCTAACTAAGTGCCACTTAAACGTGTCAGACACAAGAGATGGTATGATCATGCCAGCATGTGTTCCTCGTTTAGAGTCGAGCCTTGTCCTCACAAACTTCACCAAGTCACAATACTCCAGGAGTTTGAACGATTCCAAGTTTACTGGAATGGGTATTGGTAAAGAAAATGATTGGATCGTTGTGGTTCTTACTACCAACACAGCAGGAGGAAGCTATTCTACAGATACAGATACAAAAGATGATCATGATGATCATGATGATGATTCTAGTGGCTTCACCTTTCGTATTGGCCTCGCTAATTATTTATTAGTTCTCATCATGGCTTTTTGTTTCTTCCTCTATTGAGATATCTATCACATGTTTTGAGTTTGTTTTAGTCTCAACTCTTCTTTAGACTATGAATAATTTCTGCTTATGATATTTTAATATTTTTATTTGAATTAAAACAAATATATCTTCTCCTAACTTAAAATAAACTGACATGGACATGTACCTCTTATATAATATATTGAGAAATGATTTTGACAAATGTCATTACCATATTCATTCTCACCAAAAAATGATGACATATTTTTTTTTAAAAAAAATGACATAACATCAATTTAATTATGACAAGTAAAATTTTCTTATAAAATTTTATAATTTTTGAAAAGACTCTTTAAATATGGTACTGCTAATAACTTGTATACTATCGTTATAAAATACTTTTTATGTATAAATATTTATTTTCTGAAGGTTTTTGAAATATATTAATAACCAATAAATCATATATCACCATTATAATATAATGTGTAGTATATTTAATTTATTAATTTATTTTCTTATCTATGTATGTTTTTATGTACAAAAACAAACACATTCACAAGAATTTATGTTCTCATAGACTTGATTGTAACATCCTTTCAATGTAGATTCTCTCTATCCAAGAAATAGACAAAGAGTTGGAAACATTGAATTTGATATCTTGGCAACTATCAATTTATACTTATTGGTTTGAAAGAGTCTTGTGGCATTGCTCAACCGGTTAAAAAAATCCCAAAATTTACTAATAGAATTCGTGCCTCCATCATGAATTGTGCATGGAAAATAGTTTTGTTTGAGGAACTATACATCTAAAATTTACTATTATTTGACTTATATGATACTAATTTAATATTATATCACTATATGTTACATTTTATTTTCTCAATGCCTCTTTTGATTTCATAAACGCATCATTCACAATGCATGCTAGTCTTGATCAACAATAAATTACTACTCAAATACTCAGTTTGTACCTTTATACTCATTGAAAAGTTAGATGTTATCCCTCTCTTTAAAATTTTTGATTGGAATGGAATCTCTTCAGTTTTTAACTAACTTGTCCAGCATATATACTTGTGTAAGCTCTACTAAGTCCTCTAATATAACAAGTTAATACTACAACTGGTTTGTGGTCGAAGTTAGATAATATATATGAAAAGGTTTCTATTTAAGAAACTACTTTTAAATCATCGTTTTTCACTCTATAAAACTTCATGATCACCTTGAGAGGTTAAGCTCATTTATGTTGGATCTGCTTCCTATTACTAGAACAAGGAAATTTTTCTTTTCGAATCATCCGAATCATCCAATATAAAGTTATCATCATGAAATTGTCCTAACACATACATAATTCTATAAGATATCAAGAGTCTAGTTCCAAAATTGAATAGTTATAGAAGCCCAATAGATGGGCCTTAACTACAGCCCATTAAGAATAACTGAGTGGGGGGTAAATTTGTAAATATAAGTAAGCCGTAAGCCAAAGATTTCACAAATCTAATCTCTCCGGTCTCATCTTTGTCTCGGTCTCTCTCGCTCGTGGGTGTGTGTGTCTAAAGAGGCAAAAGGGATGCGATTGTGAAAAAAAAAAAGATAATACCAAAAAAAAAAAAAACAAAATCAATTTTTGAGAAGTAAGTTGAAATCGAAGGAAGGGAGGGATACAACACATAGTTCCCGCCATGGTGGCTCAACAGGTAGCAGAGAGCAGCGTGGTGAATCCTGGGGAGGAGCCAGTTGAGACGACAAAGTCTCTGATCTGTGCTCTCAATTACATCTCTCGTGACCTTCCTTTGCCTCCTCACCTCTTCGCCGCCGTCTCTTCTATCTACCATGGCTCCTCTTCCTCTTCTTCTTCTCTCTCATCCTCCTCCGTTGTGTCTCTGTCTCCGCCGCCGGTAAGTGGTTCGATTGGTTCTGGAGGATTAGGTTTGGGTCTCTCTTCTTGAGTTTCTTTACAAATTTGCATGTCTTTGTGCTTTGGATTGTAAAGGTTGTAGCTTTAATGGTCTTTCAGTTGTTAATGAAGCATTAGGTTTGGAGTATGTTGGCACTGCATGTTTTTTTTCAGTGGTTTAGTTTGTGCATTGAGTTGTAAAGGTTGTAGCTTTAATGGTCTTTTCTCTGGCTATAAGTTATTCAATTTGTTAATGAAGCTTTATGTTTGGAGTTTGTTGGGTCTGTGTTTTGTCTCTTTTTGAGTTTCTAAGATTATTGCATGTTTTCAGTGGCTTTGTTTGTGGATTAGGTTTTAAATGTTGTAGCTTTAATGGTCTTTCTCGGCTTGTAAGCTATTCAAGTCTCTCTCTCTTTTTTGTTCATGTGATTTGTTTCTGGAGCATTAGGTTTGGAGTTTGTTGGCTCTTATAGGACACTGCATGTTTTCAGTGGCTTTGTTTGTGTACTTAGTTGTAAAGGTTGTAGCTTTTAATGATCTTTCTCCGCTTGTAAGCTATTCAAGCCTCTCTCTTTTGTGGCCATGTGATTTGATTCTGGAGCATTAGGTTTGGAGTTTGTTGGCTCTGTGCTTTCTCTCTTTTTGAGTTTCTAGGATATTTGCACGTGTTTAATGGCGTTGTTTGTGCTTTAGGCTCTAAAGGTTGTAGATTTAATCTTCTTGTTCCGCCTGTAAGCCATTCAATTGTTAATGAAGCCATTAGGTTTGGAGTTTGTTGACCGAGTTTCTTGCAAATTGCATGATTTCAGTGGCTTTGTTTGTGCTTTAGGCTCTAAAGGCTGTAGCTTTAATGGTCTTTCTCAGCTTGTAAGCTATTCAAGCCTCTCTCTTTTGGTCCATTGATTTGTTTTATGGAGCATTAGGTTGACTGTTATAGGATACCGCATGTTTTCAGTGGCTTTGTTTTTGCATTGAGTTCCTACAGGTTGTAGCTTTTAATGGTGTTTCTCAGCTTGTAAGCTATTCAGGTCTCTCTCTTTTGGTCATGTGATTTGTTTTCTGGAGCATTAGGTTGACTCTTATAGGATACTGCATGTTTTCAGTGGCTTTGTTTGTGTATTAGGTTCTAAAGTTTGTAGCTTTTAATGGTGTTTCTCCTCTTGTAAGCTAATCAGTTCTGTCTCTTTTGTGGTCTTGTGGTTTGTTGGTTCTGTGCTTTCTCTCTTCTTGAGTTTATAGGATACTACATGTTTTCAGTGTCTTTGTTGTTAATTAAGTTCTAAAGGTTGTAGCTTTAATGGTCTTAATCCGCCTGTAAGCCATTCAAGTCTCTCTCTTTTGTAGTCCTGTGATTTGTTTGTAGGGAATATGGTTGGCTCTTATAGGATACTGCATGTTTTCAGTGGATTTGTTTGTGCATTGAGTTCCTAAAGGTTGTAGCTTTAATGGTATTTGTTGTGCAGGGGAATGATTTTACTCCTTATGGAGGTGATTTGATGGGAGAGTTTGAGGATGCACTTTTGAAGCAGAGAACGAACATTGAATCAGGCTCTCGATTGGCAGAATTGCAGGATAATCGGAATAAGACTCTCATCCAACGCCGCTTATCTGAGCTTGAAGGTTACACTCCAAATCCCATTTTTCCTTATTTCCTGCAAACCATTCACAAATTGTAATCTTTCTTACTGCAAAACCGTTTTGAACTATCCTTGTTCAAGAGGAATGCACCTACTGATGTTGGTGTCTTGTTGTGTTTATGTCAGAATTACCTTCCACCAGAGGTGAAGACTTGCAAGGGAAGTGCTTACTCGAGCTTTATGGGCTAAAGGTATCATCATATGTTCTCAGTGATTATTTGAGTTTGTGATATTTTTGGTATTATTAACATTTTGCATTGGTGTGAGTCGCAGCTACGAGAGTTGCAAAGCAAGGTTCGAACCGAGGTAAGCTCGGAGTTCTGGCTACGTATGAACTGTGCGGATGTCAGTAGCCAACTGTTTGACTGGGGTATGATGCGGTTGCCTCGTCCTTTGTACGGTGTTGGAGATCCTTTTGCGACGGAAGCTGATGATCAATTCAGAAAGAAGCGTGATGCCGAGGTCATTTACTCTCTTACAACTAGATATTCCTTCTCATAATGAAGTCTAGCAATTGAGTGACAAAAGTGATATAACGCGCTTTTTAACTGCGGCTCACATATACTTCTTGTTTCTGCTTTGTCTTTAGAGATGGGTTCTATAGAATTGAAACTCTCTAGTGCACATGAGATGATAGATTGTTTATAGTTTTCAAGCTTCTTGCTTTGCATTCGCCGATGTGTTTTAATTCTTTGTACAGAGGGTGTCACGTTTAGAAGAAGAGGAGAAGACTCTGATTGAAACCGCCAAGAGGAAGTTCTTTACAGAAGTACTCAATGCAGTTCGTGAATTCCAGTTGCAAATCCAGGCGACTCAAAAACGCCGTAGGCAAAGAAATGATGGTGTGCAGGTACAATATCATTTACATATGCATTTATAATGAAGGCAGTTCAGATGTCTTTTTAATGTTATCACCGTAAAGGCTTCTATATGATATTTTTTTGTTTCTACATTGTTTAACAGGCGTGGCATGGGAGACAAAGACAACGTGCAACCCGTGCAGAAAAGTTGAGGCTAATGGCCCTTAAATCCGATGATCAAGAAGCATACATGAAACTCGTAAAGGAGAGCAAAAATGAAAGACTCACCACTCTTCTAGAAGAGACTAACAAACTCCTTACTAATCTGGGAGCTGCTGTTCAGCGTCAGAAAGATGCTAAACTACCAGATGGGAATGATCTACTAAAAGACTCAGAATCTGATTTATCTGAGCTCGAGGCTCCAAGAAGCGAACCATTACAGGATTTGCTTCCTGATCAGGATAATGATATCACTGAATCTGATAATAATGATGACTCCAATGATTTACTTGAAGGCCAAAGGCAGTATAATTCTGCTATCCATTCAATACAAGAGAAGGTAATGTTAATCTCTATGCTTAATTTTTTAACATGCTGCCATCTTAGTGACCAAGTGATTTAAGTAGGAAGTATGTACTTTTAACAGGTGACAGAGCAGCCTTCACTTCTACAAGGTGGGGAGCTAAGATCTTACCAAATAGAAGGACTCCAATGGATGGTTTCTCTTTTCAACAATAACCTAAATGGAATTTTAGCTGATGAGATGGGTTTGGGGAAAACCATCCAAACAATCTCGTTGATTGCGTATCTTCTGGAGAATAAAAACGTGCCTGGTCCTTATCTG